TTTATTCCATCAATTCCTGGTGCCTTGTTCTTTGCCAATTCCTTCTGTGCACTTTGGACTTCCTCCCTGAGTATCATTGGCTCTTGTTCATATGGTACCTCTTGAAATTAGTCCCTTGTCTCATATGTCATTGCAAAAGACTCTTTCCCTATTCTGTAGGCTCCCTTTTTACTCTTTTAATGAAATCTTTTGATACACGTTAAGTTTCTAATTTTTAGTATATTCCAATCGTCTATTTTGTCTTCTTTTGTTTGTGTAATTTTTGCCATGTTTGGTAGTCTGTGTGTGCTCTGTATTGTTTTTGTTGTTTGTTGTTAGGTGCCGTCTAGTTGGTACCAACTCATAGTGACATTATGCACAGCAAATGAAACACTGACATCCTGGGCCAACCTCACAATCATTGCCACACTTGATCCCATTGGTGCTGCCACTTTGCCAATCCATCTCACTGGGAGTTTTCCTCTTTTTCTCTGACCCTCCACCTTACCAATATCCTTCTCTACATGATACACGATACAGGATACAGGATATCCTTCTCTAGCGATGGTCCTTCTTGACAATAAGTCCGAAAATTTGTCCCTATTTTTTCATTGATGACTTTTATAATTCTGGGATTCACATTTAGGTCTTTAATCCATGCTGAGTTGGTTTTTGTATATGGCGTAAGGTAAAGGTCTTGTTTCAATCTTTTGCTTATCGATTTCAAATTCTGCCAGCACCATATGTTGAAAAGAGACTGTGTCCTCCCCATTCAATGGACTTTGGCCCTTTGTCAAAGATCAGTTGGCTGTTTGTGGGTGGGTTAATATCTGAATTCTCAATTCTGTTCCATTGATCTATGTATCTTTCATTGTACCAGTACCAGGCTGTTTTGACCACTGTAACCATGTAGTATATTTTGAAATCAGGAAGTGAGAGACCTCCAAGTTTGTTCTTCTTCATAAGCAGTGCTTTGCTTATGCTGGGTCTCTTTCCTTTCCATATAAAGTTTATAATTGTTTTTTCCATCTCTTTAATGAATGTCACTGGAATCTGGATTGGGATTGCACTGTATGTGTAGATTGCTTTGGGCAGTATTGACATTTTCACAATGTTAAGTCATCGTATCCAGGAACATGGTATATGCTTCCATTTTTGTAAATCTTGTGTTTGGTTTCCTGTGTTATACAGTTTTCTTTGTATTGGTCCTTTGTTTGTCTGGTTACATTTATTCCTAGGTATTTCATCCTTTGGGTGGCTATTGTAAATATTATTGCTTTCCTAATATCCTTCTCAGCACTGTCATTGTTACTATAGAGGAATCCAACTGATTTTTGTATGCTGATCTTATACCTGCCACTTTGCTGAATCTTCAGATGAGTTCCATTAGTTTTTTTTACTGAGTCTGGTACTAGCTTTTTGAAATGTTCTTTATTCATCAATTATAGGAGAGGGTCACTGTGGCTTTAGATTTCTATATTAAATAAGATAGTTAAACCAAATTGTGAAAGTAAGTTAACACCTGTCCCATCCTAATCTGATTAAGTTTCCCTTCTCTGACTGAAAATGTGTCTTTTCAAACAGTATCTCAACACAGAAAATGGTTAAGTATCTTTTTCAAAGGCCATCTTAGAAATATAGGTTGTAGAGCTGGGAACACAATTCTAAGCTAGTGAATCAGATAGAATTTGTGTTACAGAAGATTTAGTTATCTAATGTAGCACTTTAGTGAGACTATCCCCGGTCACACTTTAAGGGTTTGTAGTTATTAGTATACATACAGTATAGCGTATTTGTCAATTCTAAGCCAGCTTACTCCTGTAAAAGTACAAAATACTATATATAGCAGAGGTACAGGGGACATGTCTACTGCCCTTCTGATGTTACACAACACTGCCCAGCTTTGTATAATTGGGCTCATTCAGTCACCTTTGCTACTAAATTTCTTTTTATACTTTTGTAACTCTTTTGAAATTAGATTTCATCATTATATATTGAAATGGGTGATATCTTTAAAATATCTCATTTTAAGTCAGTGTTTTTGTTTTCTAGTTAATTACTACAAAGCTGGGAGTGTCGGGTCATGTACACAGATTAATGGCTGGATCCATGGCAGGTAAGAGAAGTGGGCTTCTTACTTCTCATCCAGTAATTGGCTTAGATTATATGCGGGACATTGGTTATATAGCACGATTGACGACCTTTCCCCATTTAGTTATAGAACTCCCCGTTAGCTCTCCCTCTAAGTCTGGGTTCTCTAGAGAAACAAAACCAATGAGGAGCACATATAAACAGATAAAGAAAGATTTACTTTAAGTTAATGACTCGTATCAGTTCTGGAGGCTGCCAAGTCCTAAATTATGGGCCAGGTGGCAGGCTGAAGGCTGCTGCTGACCCTTGTTCTAAGAACTGGAAGTCAAGCAGTAAGAATGTATAGGATCCATACAGAGACTGGGTCACTGGCTTTGCCACAACATCCATTTATATGCTGGCGGCAGCTCCCTCCCCCAAGGTAACCCCTTTTAACTGATTGTCTGCTCATAACAGATCACAGAATGAAAGGTGATTCCAAAGTGTCTGTCAAACCACGGAGAATCAAATTCTAGCCAAGTTGACGCAAAACATTAACCATCAAAGTCTTCTAACTCAAGTTATTTAAAAGAGGAGATGGTGAGGAATAGTTTAAATGTACAGCTATGTGAAAAGCATGCATTCTTAACTTATACCTAAAAATTCTCCTTCTAGAAATTTTTCTTTTTTTCCAAAAAGTTTTTTTAAAAGATATACAATATTTTTATTCAAATAACACACGTGTTCTATGTTTTTGGCCAACTGTGCTCTCTCCCCTCAAGGTGTATTTTGGTAAACATATGTCAGGGTTTTTTTCACACGTTGCTTTAATTATTATGGTACAACATGTGCTTATTTGTATAAAAGTGGGAGAGTAATCTATATGGTGAAAATGGTTCTACTCACTGGACGTAATGAGGTAGTCACTCTTTTTTAAGAAAAAAAGTTACTGTGTCTTAAGTGAACATTTATATATAAATTAGTTTTCAGAACAGTGAAGTGAGAAGTTTACTGACAAGTCTTATCAGTTTTACGTTCAACAGATCATACAGTGTTTCATTTCTATGATTACAATCCCTTCCATGCAAAACAGTTACCCCACTTCCTCACTTTGGTTCCCATTTCCATTCTATCCACCTTCCCATGCCTTCTGAACTTTGTCCTTAGGTAAATGTTGCCCTTTTGATCTTGTATTGTTGTTTTCCCCATAAGCCATAGTGCGTGGCTGCCTTTTGTGTTATGAGGGTGAGTTCCTCTCCAGACCTGAAGGGGGATTGAGGGCTGTGGGTCTCAGATTCCTCCAGTCTCTTTCTGATAAATAAGCCCTTTTTTGAAAAATACTTTTGAGTTTTGTTCCATAATAAATTAATAAATGTTAAAAGTCCAAGGATTGAAAGTCAAGAACTGAACACTTTGTACTGCACACAAGTGACAAGTAAATGTTAGCTAGTGCTGCTCATCATGACTATTATGTAAAATAATAATTATTATGTAAAATATGTCAGTGTAAAATGGTAACACACGTCCATACCAACTGACAAATAGCTGTTGTTCCACCTCTTCAACATCTCCCCTACCATGACTCCAGTGACACTGTACCCCTCCAGGAATGTGTCCCCTCAACCAATAAAGAGTTAACACCTGGCACAGCAGGAGCCAGTCATAACCTTGTGAGTGTAGTCAACACTGGATAAGGCAAACCTTGGACAAGACGAGTCAGGTCAGACTCTCTGAATCTAGGTGCAAATGTAGACTGAGGAGTCCCTGGTTTTAGAACCTGAGATACTGTCTAGGATGTCGTTACACCTGTCATCTAAGGCTATGTCTTTTACCTCAACCACCAGAAAGGTGACTTATCTGTGGCCACAGTATGTATCTACAGCATCTAACCAGAGGTTTCGATTGTTTATGGCAGCTACCTGATCAACATCTGTCCCTACTTCTTGCCCCACCACATCACATCTGTAGAGCTCCAGGGCTCTAGCACTACCAGAATGCTTTTTTTTTTTTACACAAAATACTATGATTTTATTACCAATCATAGATATATCTTTTTTCACATCATTTTGCACTTAAACTCTTTCACACAAGTGCAGTAATTCTACCCAAACCTCAATAATGAAGTTAAATAAGTAACATGTTGCTAAACAAAAGATTTAAGTTAAAATGTACCGTGCAATAGTGCACAGAGAAAGTGCAGCCAGTAACACACGAAAACGATTCTGAATCAGGCATGTTTGGAGCCCATTTGGTTTTCCAGAAGGTTATACATTTCACCCAATCTTTGGTCACTCCTGGAGCAGTACCCACAACAAGCAGACAGAAGTATGAACTAACAAGGCTAAAATACTGAAGACCAGATGGGACCACAATGAATAGTTCTCTTGTCTGTAAACAGCAATCTGCTGGAATTATCAATACCTCTATCTTAGTACCTATAGTGAGAACAGACTACAATACACTGTAGCCATCATCTCAAGGAGAGAAGCAAGATCAGCCTCCTTCATCAGCCTGCCTCCAAGACAAGTGGTGCCTGATGAACCAAACCCCAGGAGGAACTTAGAATGCGTTTAACTGTACATAATGAATATCAAAGGTTCATTTTCTAAAAAAGCCCAGATAGTCTCAGTGCTCTTTGCCACTAATGCATGCCAAGAGATGACACAGAATCTTGATTATAGAAGCAAAAAATGACCATGGGTGTGCCATACCATGGCTAAAGCAATAACCATAAAAATCAACTGTTATCCTATAAACCTCATAATAACCACAACTACTAATATTCTGACATATAATATTCTAATCATTTTATTTCCAGCATCAGAAATAAAGACTGTTAACATGTTACTAGGTCACTTTGTAGATATTTACTATATATATATACCTATACGTATACCTATACATATACATTCACAGGTATACAGTCCTGGTATGGTGCTGTAGGATAAGTGCTGGACCAAAACTTTTGTTTGAACCCCAAGGTCTGTGGTTCAAATCCACTAGCTACTCTTTGGAAACCCTGTACAGGGTCACTATGAGTCAGAACCAACTGGACAGCACTTAACAATAACAACATATATACATTTACTTTTTAAAAGCTACAATGTTGTGTAATAGTCATTATATTTTATAGCTTGTCTTCTTTATACTTACCATGCATGTCTTTCATTTTAAATAAATAAAATTCTACAAAAAATACATTAATGGATGTAAAGAATTCCGATACATTTTTTTATATTCCAGTACTTTTCTATTTTATGTACTTAAATTACCTTTCAGTGTGATAAATAAAGATTCAGTGAATATCTTTGTGATGAAATATCACTGTTGTTGTTAGATGCCATGAAATTGGTTGCTATTCATAGTGACCCTGTATACATTTCCAAGGAGTGGCTGGTGGATTTGAAGCACTGACCTCGTCGTTAGCAGTCCGGTGGTATTTAAAATCAGAAAAAGGATAAATTATTGAGTAAATTAAGTTGGTACTACTGACTAATCATTGGAGAATAATTATATTTAATTACTATCTCATTCCTTATATAGAAATAAAACAGAAAGATAAGCACATAAACACACACAATGTTTTTGTAAAAAACATGATTAAATGGTTTTATCTTAGAATAGGAGTCCTGGTGTGGCCTTGTAGGATAAGGACTGAGCTGCTTACAAACAGGTTGGTGGCTCACATCCATCATCTGCTCCTTGTAAATCCTATACAGGGTCCCTAGGAGTCAAAACTAACGAATGCCATGGCGCTTAACAACAGCACCAAATCTTAGAATGAAGGCATTTCTAAGTACAACACAAATTTTGAAGTCACAGTGGATTTACTTGGCTATGGAAAATTTAGCCCCTTGCATTTTTTATTCTTTTTACTTCATATTTGTAAATACAGGTGGTGGTGATG